AATGTGATTGGTCAGAATTCTTCAAAATTGCTCCATTTTGAAATACCATTAGAAAGCTTGATAACTCGCAGTTTAAATTATTGGAGTAAAAACCTTGTTCTCAACTTGCTAGTATCACCACTGCTGTAACGTCTGTTGTGAAATCATCCTTTTTGTCATCGTTTCACTCATCAGTTAAGCCATCGTTTAAATCACCGGTGGTGAGGTCATCGATGAAGTACATTCTTGTTCGTTCGAACGTGGGAGTAAATCGGTTTAACTGTAGCTGAACAAAATTCTGTTTTTTCTTCTTCTTTTCTTATCGGCTTTATTTCTTCGGAGCGGTTCTCTGAGATTGAAACTTTCTTCACGTGTCTCAGTTTTTCCGTTGTTTGTCCCTGACAAACTGACTCAACTCCTTTGAGCACCACCACCGTAGAAAGTCTGTCGATCAACCTGTGAAGTTCATCTGGCTAATCTGTTTTCGTAGGCAAAGTAAACAAACGCACGATTGGCTTTTCACGGAAATCTTTTCAACCTGCTTATCTCAGGCCTTGCCGACGGACATTGAATCCACAGCAACTTTGCTGAGTGGTTTGCAGCATTCATTTTTTCTCCCATGTTGCTGAATGAGGAATAAACGTTTTAAAAAGTCACACGCAATAATCAAATATACGAATTCATTCTATTTTATGCTATAATCTAATTTCATCTCTATATAATTTCATTTCGTTTTAATTTCTGATTTTTTTTTTTTTTTTTTTTTTTTTTAAGTGATTATTTTGTGAGCGGTTTTTCACTGCGTGCACGAAGACATATTTCTCAGGAAAGTATTCAAGATCACGTTAAGGCAAAAAATCTGGATTTGAGTTTTTGACAGAAATTACTTTCTGGTATCCCAAGGATTACGTTGCGCGTGATATAGTACATTTAAATTTCATTTGAAGGCTTACACTAAAACAAAAAATTTCTTGAGACATTATATTTTAACTTAAAGCGTCGTTTCTTTCCGACAGAACTTGGTTTTTCTCTTAGTTAAATCCGTGCGGATTGGACTTAAAGTCAGTTTTTTTGAGTTAAAGAAACCTTGTTTTGCCATCAGTTTTTCAACTTAAAGTTAACGATAACAAAACGACGGTTTTATAACTTAAGGAAACTGATGTTGAATTGAATCCGCACGGATTTATTTTAAAAGAACCAAATTTTGTCGACAAGAAATGACGCTTTAAGTCAAAATAATATCTCAAGAAAAAAAATGTTCAGTGTACATTTAAATCGTGATAGTAAAATTTTGAGCTTTGAACAACAGACTTATTTCAAATAGCATTCTCGGAACGACGTTTTTTGAACACCTTCCAGACCAATATAACTTGAATTGGTTTGATGTGTCATTTTTAGGCGTTTTTTGTGCCTCATCATTCGTAAAACGCTCCTCAGAACGGTGGCTCAAACTTCTCAATTTTGGATTTTTTGGAACCAAGATTCCGATCTCATGGACAGTCCCATTTTATTTATTTTTTTAATTCTCTTCCCATTGACTTAATTCAAAGTTGTTTTATAATTTATCTTATTTTCATTTTTAAAATATAAAATACAAATGATGCTATGTTACTGCAATGTCGTAGAGGAACAAGGAGCGTCTGATTTCGGATTTTCGTACTTATTTTTGAACGGCTGTCTAAGCGACGAGAATCGTTTTGGCTTCACTTTTAACTTCCCGCAGAGAAGAGTCTGCTTTGGCCTCTGCCGCCGAAAACTTTCATCCCGAACCGAGGAATCAAAATGTAACGACTTTTGCGACATAATCGCCACTACTTTTGATGGGAAGCTCGGTGAAACCGGAACTGCTCCAAACCAAAGCTTCACAGTTTCTTGAAGCCGGAAGTTTTTATTTCACAATTTTATAGAGCAAACTTTGCTCAAAGGTGCTTAGCAAAGTGTGCGGAGCTCGATTCAGCCATTAATTAAGTAAAATGGTGCTTGGAACTTTAAGGTGCTGTCGAAGTTTGGATGACTCGATGATGAGGCCAGTTTGGTGGTCCCTTTGTAAATGGGGCATCCGATAACGATGAATACCTCGTTCCTCCGACGGCGCCCCCCCCCCCTCTTCTCTGAAATCTTGTGCCAATCGGAGGGTTCAAATCACGCATCATTAAAATTTAAATTCAATCAAAAACTCGAACAACTTTGCCGTTAACAAGTATGCTACGAGAAAGATTGATGTCCTTCTAACTGGCTTTATGAACTTGAAACTTTGCATTGATTCTATCGAGAGCCCATTATATTCCCAGGACGGAAAGAGAGTCCTCCACTTCTTATTTTTTATGTCAATATCAAACAACCCCTTACTTACTGTTACGCTTAGAAAGTCACCTCTCTCTTGAAAAATTGTACGGAGCTCTTTGAAATGGACAAAAATTGAAACGATGTTTTTACAAATAAAGAGAAAATAGAAAGTAAAGAGCCAGGAAAAAGCCAAGAAAATGTGAGAGGACCAATCTCTCTATCCTAGGAAAACGATGTATTACTACACTATTTTGATCTCTCCTCTAAGGCGTTATGGCTCAGATGTTAAAAGCACCAAATAAACGTATCTACCAACCAACCTACGTTTGAAAACAAAATGCTACCAAAGATTTTTTTCTTTCTTGCTTCGAGTTGAATAATCTCCAGACCAAGCAGAAAAATTATGGAATAAAAAAGACGTTCGATTTCAGTTTATTAATTTTTTATTTTAAAAGATTTATTTAATATTTGGCTGCAAATTTTAAGACTGATGGTCAATCAAACACTTTCTCCACCAATCCGTGATTTTAAAATGACAAGTCTCCTCATTTGTGAGTGAGCTGCCAACTGCAATAAGTAATTTTAGTTGATCCTAAGACGCTCATAAAGCCTGATCAGATTTTTGACGATGAGCGATAACCATCGTATTTTAAAGCATGTACTTACGGAAGAAAAATAATTGCAGTGGTTCTTTGACGTTCTATCCTTATGTGAGCTGCAAGAAATCTAGGGGGCGGTAACCAGATTTCTGGCATTGTTGCTGATGCGTCTGGTAGATCTATCCTAGGATATCTTCGTGTATATTATAAGAAGTATTCTAAGCGTGCTTATGTTTATGAACAGTAAATTATGCTACACGTTTAACAATCAATAATAAACCATTTTCAAGAGGGGGGGTGGTAACATAAGGTTGTCAAAAGACTGGCTAAGGTAGTTGAAGGAACTGTTTTAAGTATCTATCTGATCATTTAAAAGTGAAATATCGACTTTAGTCCTGCGTTCCTTAATAGTTTTTAGCACACTTAGAATTCTACCGTCATAACCTTTATGCAGGATTTTTAAGTCACTCCCAATTCAACTACTCAATATTTAGAGCGCAATAAAGCCAACGAAAATTTAATTTTGCATCTTTAAAGTGTTCATAGTACCTTGTTTTAAAATTTATAGTAGGTGTTATTCCTAAATATTGCTGCTGTCGCTATGGCTGCGGGAAAGAGCGCCGATCGTTGACTCTCGGCGAATTAAAAGCATCATTACTATCGGTTAATTTCAATTTTCATTTTCATCCCTTCGTATTTACAGTGCGGAATACTGCCCCTCAGTCCGTGTTTAGCGAACATTGCACCTATTTTATGACTAAACCCATTAAATTACTTCAGCGGAGTCCCGATAATCCGCGCCTGGGCCCATAATTCGCTATGTGGATTATTCGTTGTCAATTTTAACGCCATGTTATTTATCCTTCTGTTCATCATTCCTTTTCTTAGAGTACCTCTTATCGAACGAAAAATAATCAGCAGGTTTCAGTTTACAGGTGAAACAAGTAAAAATGTGCGATATGTTTTTAAGGTGATTCGATGGACGCCATATTTTGTGTCAGAACGACGTGCGATATATCGCATCGATTGGCTTTTTTTTCAGCTACTGATAATTTTTCTCGAATTTTTAGATCGCAATTCTGTTGTCAGGAGACTAAAGCACTCACTTACCAATTTTTACAAACAAATTCAATGTAATAAAAGCGTGGTTTTTTTAGAGAGAAAACATCGCATTCGATACTGACATCGAATCTGCACTCGAATGCGATATTTTCTCTTTAAAAAAAACCACGCCTTTATTACGTTGAATTTGTTTGTTAAAATTGGTAAGTGAGTGCTATAGTCTCCTGACAACAGAATTCCGATCTCAAAATTGGAGAAAAATGACGAGTAGCTGAAGAAATGGAACCAATTGATGCGATATATCGCATGCCATTCAGACACAAAATATGGCGTCCATCGAATCACCTTAATCACGAGAAATAATCCTTCCCAATACATTTATGTGCTTAATTGGGTCCCTCCTGGGAAGGAATGAAGGGACTCCCAGAACAAGGGTGGCTACGTGGGGTTCCAAATTAATGATTTGAGTGGTTATCGATGGCTGAAGTGCGTGGCCACGTATTACATTTCGACTTTAAAGACTTCCAGTCATACTTTATTTTTCCTTTGAAAACTAGCCCATGTAATTTCTTGAAACCTTCCTTGACTTTTCTTCTCTATCTGTTCAAAGCTTCAAAGTTGACTTGTTCCTCTTTGAAAACATAAACTTTGAACGGAGATTTCGAAACAGCGCTATGAAAATACGTGGTGTCGTTCTTTAGTCATCGCTGTGTAATACGTAGAAATACATGTCTTTACGATTCATTTAAATTATTACTGTCTATTGACAGGAGGAATCCAATCAAGCATCTTTTTTGGCAGTCTCTCATCCGTCATCCTATTAACATGACCGCACCAGACAAGCTGGTTGGTCATGACGTCGAACACGATGTCATTTTCGACTTCCATGATATCATGACGTACTCTCTCATTACGGACCCGATTACCGGAGATCGGCAGGAATTTCTAGGAGAGATCGGATCCGCGCTACTTCTAGTACGAATAATCTCGTATAACCGAGACTCCTCTCAGAATGCAAATATACTTATCTTGTCTCGACACGTTGTTGAGTGGTTGCGTTGTTGGGTGTTGCAGGTTTTCGGGAGGCGGCGGTGATCCCGGACCCGGACCTGCGGGACGACGAGGCCGGCGACGCGATGGTGGAGTCCGAGCCGGAGATCATCCTGCCGGACGACAGTCTCGCCGACACGGACCTCCACGACCACGACCTCATCGACTCCGTCATGTACATATACTTCGGCGGCTCCCGCGAGGACGGCAGAGGCGCTGGCAGACAGGTAAACACAAACTTCTTTCAACGTCGCTTCTCTAGCGGAAGGGCGTATTTCGATTCCCGCATGAGCCTCTACGAGCTGAATATTGAATTGGTATTTGGAATGCAGCCGAGTGCTAGAAATATTGTAAAATTTTCTTTAAAAAACTTACATTTTATTAACAAACTTAGACCGAAGCTTTTCGAAGCAAACGCTTCATCGTCAGGAACACAAAATCGATATCTTAAAGGCCATAATTTAATTTCAAACAAGGTAACAGATTTCATTGGGATCTAATAGCTTGTTATCAATGAAATCTGTTACCTTGTTTGAAATTAAGTTATGGCCTTTGTGATATCGATTTTGTGACCCTGACGATGAAGCGTTTGCTTCGAAAAGCTTCGGTCTAAGTTTGTTAATAAAATGTAAGTTTTTTAAAAAAAATTTTACATTATTTCTAGCACTCGGCTACACTCCAAATACCAATATATTCAGTGCTACTACCTTTCAGGCATTGTATTACGCAATTTTCGCTGATTTTGATCATTGAAATTGATTGACAAGGAGATTGATAAAGAAGACAAACTGAAAATACAGCGATCCTATTGGTGGGAGCGGGTGGTTGCATTGGACAGAGGAGGGAGGTAATAGACAAACTATCGGCAACCCGTAAGAGACCCTTCAGTCAGTCCATCATTTTCTCCCGGAGTCTATAGGAGCTATACCTATTTCAAACAACATAGGATCGCTCCATACTCCCTATGTCTTCTGTGTCTATCGCTTTGTCTATCAATTTCAATAATCAGCCCGCGGGATGCATAGATTCTTATGTAAAACAGGGCTCACGTGGAAAATGAGGTGCCGTGCCGCGGCACGGCGAGCGGGCGGCCAGCGCGAAAAGCGCCTACAAACCTAAGTGGATACTTCAAACATTGCGCAATGCAAGAAGTATCCACTTAGGTTTGTAGGCGCCAGTGAGCCTTTCGTGCTGGCAGCACGCCGCGCCGCTTCGCTCTGTTTGGCTCTAATATTTAAACTCGCAGAGTCAGCGTTTTTCAACTCATGGTTTTGAAATATTTGCAATCTACATGGATTGGTCTCATTTAAATTGATGAAAAAAATATGTATTAAAGGAGAAAATCGACGGTGTAAGTCGGCAATCACATAACTCGGTTTGCGACGTCGCAGACTTCCTGTCATTCTTTATTTTTTAAACAGAAAACTACTCAACGGCAATTCCTTAAAACTGCCGTAATATTTCTTCTCTGTGCGAAGAAAATTCTGCATAAATTTCACGGAATGATGTCCATTTGTTCCTCTTAAAAAAGATAACATAGAGGCGGAGATTTTCAGACACCGCAAACGAGATATGTGATTGTGGACTTACGCCGTCGATATGTCCTCGCGTCAGAGAAGTGACGTCATGTCATCGTTTCACCTAGAAGGATGTAACTACATTTTGATGTTGCCTAATTTCCCCTCGTAAATTGCGATTTTAAAGGAATAATCTCGGGCATTTGTAACTGAAAATGTCACTGGTTTTTTATCTGTACTAGTGCAAAAATAAAAAAAAAATTGTGGGCAAAAGTTGCTTAGGTACATTATTTTGAAAAATGAAAATGTTTGAATCAATTTTGCAACCTTGGAATGAATATAGTTTCCTTTGGTTGCTCAATGATCCTATGAAGCTGTACCTGCGTAACATTATTGAAAACAATTGATTGAGACATCGGAACTTCTGAACAGAACGTAGCTCGAAGTAAAGTTTACAACCACATAAACTCAATTTTTAGCCCCATCACGTCAATGTAATTTTTTTTTCAAAAAAAAGTCTCAATGTTATTTTTTAACTTTGCGCTTTATTTCTCAGAATTACAAAAATTGAACTTACTTATCCCCTCATCATTGAAAGCTTCATTTTATTCTCTTCGTTTTTAATGAGTTTGAATTCAATTTAATTTTTCCTAATATTGTTGTTTTTTTTTCATGTCAATAGGTGCTGATCGTCGGAGCAGTGATCGGTCTTGTGGCGCAGTTCCTGTCGCTGGCCAGCGCTGTTCAAAGAGTCCGAAGCTTCCCAAGGGAAGAAACAACTGTGATTTTATTACATACACAATTAGCTTTTACCGTTAGTAATCTAGTCTTCATGCTTGGAGTCCAGGTAACTATCTCATCTTACTGTATCTTAAACAAAAACAAAAAATTTTCCATCTGAGATCAGACGTATCAAGAGAGCTTTTAACTTCAATGCATGACTTTATCAGTATATATTACGGATAAACGCAGGTTTGATTATAGGGCTGGATAAAGGGGTTTGACTTCATGGGATTTCAGGACCATTCGTCAACGATTTTTTGTCCGCACACCTGTTTTGTCCAGTAGTTAACGTCCAAGCGTAAAGTAAGCAACAGTGACTTGGCCCAAGTGTTATATTTCAGTCCGTAAGTAAAGTTATATTGACAATATCGAAATGAGAAATTGAGAGAGAAGGAGATGTTGCTATGGTAACTCATTTTTTAAATGAAATGTTACTGTCTTCTTTTGATTCATCTTTGTAAATCGTCATTGGTGAATATTTGGTTTTATTTCTATCCTTAAAATTTTTGATGTACAATATACCTTATATAGGTACTTTTTTAATTTTTTATTTTTTTTACGAAATCATCACTTCATTTTGAAAACATTTATATTTTTAAAACGTGACAAATATTCGTAGAATCTGTTTTAAACGATGGCATTGATATCGCAGTCTCAATGAGCCGCAGTTGTAGTGAGAGAAACTGCAACAATGAATAAAAGAGGAAAATATCCAAGAAGCACGCAATCTTTAGTTTTAACCAATTAGTACATCGATCTTTTAGAGTCAAGTACGTCGAATTTTGAGCGCTTGGTTGCGCGCACACCACGCTGCAGCACAGTAAAAGAACTCAGTATAAAAGGAAAAATTAAAGTGCTTTAGAAATCATTTTTGAAACGGAACCACCTTAATATTTACAAAATACACATCGCATCGACGGCGTAAGACCGCAATCACATGTCTCGTTTGCGGTGTCTGAAAAGCTCCGCCTCTATGCTACTTTTCTAAAGGAGAACAAATTGACATCATTCCTTTAAGTTTTTACTGAATTTTCTTCGCACAGAGAAGAAAAATCACGACAGTTCGAAAGAATTGCCGCTGAGTACTTTTCCGTTAGAAAAAGAAAATATGACAGGAAGTCTGCGCCGTCGCAAACCGAGTTATGCGATTGCCGACTTACACCGTCGATTTTCTCCTTTGATACATATTATTTTTTTTTCATAAATTTAAATGAGAACAATCCATGTAGATTACAAACATTTCAAAACCATGAGTTGAAAAACGCTGACTCTGCGAGTTTAAATATTAGAGCCCAACAGAGCGAAGCAGCGCGGCGTGCTGCCAGCACGAAAGGCTGGCGCCTACAAACCTAAGTGGATACTTCTTGCATTGCGCAATGTTGGAAGTATCCACTTAGGTTTGTAGGCGCTTTTCGCGCTGGCCGCCCGCTTGCCGTGCCGCGGCGCGGCACCTGTAACTATTTCACAACAGATGTGTTACACAGTATCATACGAGATTGAAGGCGCTCCAACATATTAAGAATGGCAGGCATCCTTTAAAAGTACGGAGCTTTCCTCTCAAAATTAGAGTCCCTTTATACCAAGAGTTAAGATCGCAAAATAAATCATGATACTTGATCGTATACATGAAAAATCTAAGAGTCTTTAGCTTTGACAAATCAAAAGGTACATCTGGTTCAGGTGTAAACAATAAGGTAGGAATTTGTTGAAAGGTAATTAAATCCTGTTGCACCAAAGAGGTGTATAGATATATTATTCTCCGTTGGACCGAAAAAAAAAAAAAAAAGTAAACCTTCTTCTTCGAAAACGTTATGTATACATTTTCATCTAAAAATATCGTGAGCAATTGTCGTTTGTATTAATGTGGACCTAATTAACTTTGGGTCTCAACGGGTACGTGGACCAAAACTCCCGTGCCAAAAAAATGCGTGGGCGTAAATTACTGGAAAAAACAGGTGCGCGGACAAAATATTATCGATGAAATGTCCTATGACCCTTCATAGTAGTCAACCGCCGGTGGCTGGACGAACGTAGATTTGGCTAGTCAAACCTAGGTGTGACAAATGAGTCAATGGTCAGGCCTAGGTGTGCCAACGCAAGGAGTTGGCAGGAGTTTTTCAAGGAGTTGAATCTTCAACAAAAGCGCCATTTTTTATGACCAAAATTAAATAAGACAAATCCTCACAAATGACTGAGGGGACCTACTTTTTTTCTTTCCTGATGCTGATCTGCCCACATTCTGATTATCCTCTACTTCAACCTCCAATCCTAGTCCTCCCCTCTCCCTCATGATGTCATCAAAATTGGAAAATCCCGCGGATAAAAATGTGAATGCTACGGAGCCGCGATATTTTTTTATGCGGCCGAAATTAAAACGGAAGAATCCTCACGAACTGTTAATGTAACTTTCTCTCTAATCTGCTCATATTCTCGCTTCTACCTTAAGATGCTCATCGAGTCTCTTCCCCAATCGTTTCCCTCAACGCGTCTCGGTGCAAAGCCAGATAACCTTAATAGAATTGTCACTGACTTCACAACGCTTTTAAAATGCCTCTAATCTCAAATTGCAGAGAAGAGGGAACAGTAGAGGAAAGGTTAAAAGATGCAACGTAAGTAAAGTGTCGCGTCATTACTCTATCCTAGACTAAGTCCCTCTTACAATGTTGTCGATACTGAATCTCGGGCTACAGATACCGTTCGGATGCAGAATCCGATCTTTGCATGGTTCATAAAATAATCTTGTGAAAAAAAATCTGAATGAAAGAATTTCGGTATAAAGTTTTGAAAGTAAGAGACTAGCTTTTCAAAAAGTTTACCAATAATGGGACAATACTAGCAATTTTTTAAAGTCATTAGTTGAATCAATATTTTTTTTCGGTTTAGATTTACTGTCCTGCTTTAAAATGTTATACTAAGCATTATTCTATCAACTGAAATTCACGAGGAACGCATACGCTCAAAAGTTTTCAAAAATGTTTTTGAACAACATTTTTGCGAATATTCATTTTCCAATTTGTGTATGATTGAACAAAATGATGCCGGTATTTTTTTTTAAGAGGAGCAGTGGGCTCGTCGAGTTTATTCTCTGCCCAAAAAATTAAAACAAATCGATTCGATTAGCCTTTCATCTTAAAATTCACTACAAATTTTTCACCACTTTTCGTTACGAATTTATTACAATTTAGAGGTACGATTTACAATTAGCTTTTTTAGGCCAAGTGTCGTCATTTTATTTCAAATGATGAAATCATACCGTTTGCACAGGGAGGAGGAGAAAAGGAGACACCGAATTTTCTGTTCACTCCGGTGGGTTTAATGCAACCATAACTTCTTTTAATTCAACTATAACTTCTCAATTTATTTTTATTTTTTTCTTATCTTACTCACATAGTTTTAAGACGTTTGCATGTAGTCTGGGTGTTGTGCGTGAAGTTTTAAGACGTTTGCATGTAGTCTGGGTGTTGTGCGTGAATGGGTTATACAAGTTAAAGCTAAAAATGAAAATTAGACGTTAGTCAATTTATAAGTTATTATATTTGTAAAAAGAAAGATAATTAACACTTTGTAAAAGGTGGCTGTATCATATCCTGAAAAATGAAAAAAAAAATACTAATAAAAAAAACTCCGGTGACAATTCACCCTCGGTCGTACAAATAAGATCCCTGGGAATCCGGCATCAGGGCGTTCGCAAACCTTTTACGGGGTCGTATTTTATACCATTGTAAAAGGACTGCTCAGACGCCGCCGTGTAAGCCGCGCGGAATTTTTCATTTATTCAAGAGTTGTTATTTTCAACGAGCCAACACTCAAAGTTTAAAACTTTAAACGACCCCGGCAAGTCCCTTTATCGTTTCACGCGGGACTAGCGCTCCTTGTCATTATCTCCCGCGACAAGGGGCTCGGATGGAAAACCCATGCTCACACCTGCTTATTTCGACGCACGCTGCAAATTCAAAGTCGGAACCCCCCTCCCTCTCCCCCCTCCCTCTCCCCCCCCCCCCCGCACTCCCAGCTCGGGCGGGAAAACTCTCCGAACGTCATCGCGCGGAATGAGGTTGAAGAGCTTTGAGAAAAATGTAACCGAATGAAACAATAAACGAGACAGAAGTTCGAACTTCCGAGTTTTTTCGTCACGGTCTTTTCCGCGCTTTCCCGAGCGGGGGCGCCTCACCGGGACCGAGTTCGAACATTAGTTTCCAGTCCTCCGTGAAGATGCTCTGCGCACTAAGGAAGAACGCCGTATGAACTTTCGAGAGTTGCCAAATTTCCCTTGATAAAACACGTATTTTTGATGACATTCGTGCATATTTTTCCTTGCAATTTTCAGATACTTCATATTAAATTGCGTGTACAATTTTCTGAAACTTTTAGGAAAAAATATTCACAATGTTCCCGGTAAATTTGGTTCTTATTGAAGGAAACTTGGCAACGCCAGATGGCGCATGCGGCGTTCTTCTTTAGCTGCGCGTCCCGGTCGCGAGTTCTTTGAATTTCATCGCTTGTCTCATCCGGGAACTTTTTTAGTTTACAACTCGGAGGCTGAGTGCGGCTAGAGCGTTACAACTTTTGAGTGTGTCCTTAAAACAGAATTAGAGTTATAAGTCGTCATTTTTCTTGCTTCCTCCCCAACTTGTTTGGACGCGCGGAAAAAAAGATTGCATCGAATGATATTTGGACGTATTTCTGCCGAACAGAACTATGTGCGTTATGACGTGAGCCCTGTTATGCATATATTCTTATGGATCTCATGGCTAATGTCTTAATGCACATAGCTCCGTTTGACAGAAATGCGTTCATTTGTGATTAGGTCAGGCAAGAGAGCACTCAAGGTAGACAAGAAATTAAATGAGATAATCAGACCAACTCCTGAACTCCCTGAGGATGTTGGGAAGATAGAGGTGTTTGGCGGGTGGGTATCGCAGAGCGCTAGAGAGCGCTGTGGAAGCGGCTTTTATACACATTCGTATAATTACACCAAAACGTAAAGGATTTATTTTGTTGCCTTTGGCACGAAGGGAACGAAAAAATTCCAAAAATTGACCGTTTGAGAGCATTTTGAAGTTG